TATAATACTCTTAGTGTTAGGAACTCTCACAGGGATGCATATGGTTGTTATAGTTGTAATTCAGACCCTATCACATTAGGCAGCCTTATGAGCCAATCTATTTCAGTTTCCAGAAATGGCAAATGGCCACTGTGGGGTTATAGCCTTTGGTGACAAAACAAAAAGCAAGGCTTTGGGGCATAGTTCACTACCAGATCCAAGATTTGGTCAGTGGTTCATGCCTAGAAAACAGTTTGTCAATTTGAGACTAATTGCTTTTGAACAGTGAGCTCAGCGATGTTTCTGAATCATTGTCTGCTGTCCCAGAAAAGGCAAATGTAATCATAATTTTTTATTAAAATGACCTGCCTTTATACCATTTTCAAAGGTGTTCGCATATACTGTGTTACCGTCATTTCACCCCTCAATAACTCGCTGAGATAGCCAGGGAAGGGATTATTATTCTTCCCCGCTCCCCCTTTCTTCACAGTTGAGGAAACTGAGGCTCAGAGACAGCACAGTCACACTGCCCCAGAAATGGGACGAGAGTCACGGATGTCTGCACTTTGTGACATGCCTCAGATTCACATCCATTATCAGCTGTGCATTTTCCTTTGGGCGTTGTGCCCACAGACTCTCAGATGTATGTAACTCACCCCCGACTGTCCCTCTGGATTTGTGTTACAGCTGGGGGCAGAGCTGTCACCGGGGCATCCAGTGAGAAATCTGGGAAGCCTCCTGGTACTTCTTCGTCTGTCTCCACTTGCAACCAGCGACTCTTGCAGATCTTTCTGGTGCTCCCCCCACATCTGGGCCACCCTTGCATTGTTTCCCGAGGGCTGCCATACAAAGAGACAGGGAGCTTACGCACCAGTTTTATGTCTCACGGTTCTAGAAGGTGGAAGTCTGAGATGGAGGGGGAGGTGGGCAGGGTGGGTTTCTTCTGAGGCCCGTCTCTGGGTGGTTGTCTTCTCCTTGTCTCCTTACATGGCCTTTCCTCTGTATCTGTCTCTTAAATCTCTTCTCAAAAGGACATTAGAGTATTGCTTTAGGACCCTCCTAATGATCTCATGTGAGATGAGTCACCTCTTTAAATACCCATCTCCAAATATCCTGGCTCTTGGAGGGGGGTCAGGATTTCAACAGCAGGAATTTCTGGGGGTGGTGGGGGGTTTCACAATTCAGTCCGTAACAACCCTGTTATGTTTCTGAGCTGCCTGAGAGCCGCCTACCTTCTGCTCTTCACCCGGCAACACGTTCCCATCTGTGTCCTCTGTTCCAATTCATTGTCCAAGGGACCCCAGTCTGGCCTGCAAGATCCCCTGCTTCTTCTTCTTCTGTCAAGCCGAGGTTGCTCACCAGACAAAGGAGATGCTCCTGGCCCTGGCCTCATTTTTCTCTGTGCTTCTGTATCTTGCACTTGACCCCACTGATGCCAGAACGCATTCTGGCCAGGCCTGCTGTTTCACGCCTCTGCCTTTGCCTAGGCTTGTGCCCTCACCCAACTATTGTCTCCCCTGCCGACCTCTTCTTCATTCTTCAAATGGCCAGTGAGTGGAAGCCTCTCCTGACTCCTGCGGGCTGGTCCCGTCTGGCCCCCAGAGCCGCCTGTGAGCCTGCGTGCATCTCAGGCCACGGTGAGACTGGGTCTAGGATGATTGACACCATTTGCTAAGGAAGTGATGGTCTAGGACTAATGCTGGGGACTCGTCACCCCAATAAGCACCTCCCCTGTACCTCAGGAGGAGTCTGCAGCCCCAGACCAGGTGGCTTTCACCATCTGGGGGAAGGTAATGCTTCTTTCAGTTTTACATAAACAACTCAATTTCTTACCATTTACATCTGGCCGTGTATGTACTTCTAGGTTTACCTGCATTTAACTGAGGGTGGCATTAACTTTACGGAGTTACCTTCCCTTTTTGTCACTCTTTTCACGTCTCCCAAAACAGATGCAGGCCCTGTCTCCAGGCCTAGGAGAGGATGGTGGCAGTGGGGAAGCCCAAGGGCCAGCCCATGGCTTTGTGGCACTCTGGGTACTAGGGTGAGTCAGGCCCGGTCAACCTGGTCAAGGCTTCCATCCAGGAAGCAGCTGGCTTGCATGGTTTAGCCAACTCCAGCTTCACAGGAGTAGTTCCTTTAACCCCATCTAATCTTTACAATATTATCGTACAAACACTCCCATTCTGGCAACTTTATCAGAAGCCTTACCCTCACTCCAGCATGTGATACTGTGAGTGATTTTATTTACAAGCCCCAACTCCACCCATGCAAAGCTGTGTCAGGAATCGACTTTGTCCATCCCCAAACTCATGTTTGAATCAAAGAGAGTGTTTGTGTTCCTGTTTCTGTTTGCAAACAGCCTCAACAATATCCTATTCATCTTTGTGGATTCAGCACCCAACGCTGGATGCATTGTAATGCTCCCCAAATGTCTACTGAAAATCAAGTTAAAATGGAATCATGGGAGGATAGGGCAGAGACATCCAAGTAGATATTGAAAATATTCAAGGAGAGAAGCTTTTGTTAACCGGGTAGGGAGTGGAGGTCAAAGTGTTACTGGCTGGCTTACTGCCGAGGTGCAAAGCAGAATATGATGATGCCAGGGTTTGAAAAGTTTCATTGCAATTTGATGGCAAGGACTCTGGAGATAAACTCACATCTGCCTCCTGTTGTTATTGGCACCGATTGTGTAAGCAGAATCTTCTTTAAGGCTGGCATGAGCTGGACATTACAGCAACTGGTGGGAATGTCTGAAATGTCAGGTCTGGAAATTTCCACTGTCAGGGATGTTGTGAGATCCCATATTAATACAGCCATTGAAGTTATAAAGGTGATACCACATGGAAGTAAAAAAAGATAGGGTGGATGTATTTTTTTAAAGATTTATTTTATTTATACAAGAACTGGGGTACAGGCCAGAGGTACAGGAGGGTGAGAGAATTCACCAGAGACAGAGCGGAAAACAGTACAGGTAGAAGGACCGAAATACACTGCTGAGGGGAGCAGCGGGCGAGACAGGAGAGGTCTGCCATGCCATGTGGGTATCTCCCTGGCCAGCTGGGAATCAAACCTGCACAGCAGAGGCTGCGGACAGCTTCACGGTGCTGCACTCAACCTGCTGCGCCACCAGACAGGATAGGGTGGATATTTTTATGTAAAAAAAAAAAGAATGAAAATAAGTACTTGATGTAATACATTGTGTGGGATGGGGACACAGCGATGGCAAACAGTTACTATGTTGGACTCTTGGGTTACAACATGGAATAACCTTGAAACATTAAAATAAATGAAAGAAACCAGCCCCAAAGGACTGCATGCTGTATAATTCCATTTATATGAAATAGCCTGAGCAGGTAAATCCACAAAACAGAAGGTAGATTAATGTTCCTTTGGCCTGGACTGGGAGGGTGAAGGGAGCTATGGATAATAGGTGTGCGTTTCCTTTTGGGGTAGTGGACATGTCCTAAATCGTGGTGATGAGTGCACCATCGTGTGGGTCCACCAAAAACCATTGAATCATACACTTAAAGTGACAGAAGTTTGTGATATATAAATTCATTCTCTGTAAGCTGTTTAAAGTGTTGGGGTTTGGGGGGAAGAGGATTCTTTTTTAGATTATCTTATTATATCACAATGTGATTCACTACATCATCTTTTCCAGAAATAATACAAAATTTACTGTCACTCAATAAAAATCTGGATTTTTATTACAAGAAAATCCCAGAGAATATGTTTCTGATAAAGTCTAGAATTAAAGACTTACAAAATTAAGTCAAGTCAGCTTTTCGTGAAGTGCTTGACAACGGAGGATGACATGTGACATGTGCTTGTTCTTTTAGCAAATACCACGTGCTCTGCTGATGCCATTTCTCTCTCCTGTTGATTTGTCAAGAATGAGGGTGGTAACTGGAGTTCCCAGGCCTTTGCAGGTGACCTGGAGCCACATTCTAATCTCATCGGGTAGTCACAGTCTTCCCAGCCCTCTCTGTAATCTCATACCTGTGCCCCCCGACAGCACGGGCTCGTCCTGGAACGCCCTGCTCCAGCCCTACTTCCTTCACCACTGGAAAAAGTCTGCTCATCTTTCAACGTGCAGATCCAATGTCAACTCCAGGACACTGTGTTTGGTACAGTATCCCATCCTGAAGAATTAATTTCTCCCCCAGTCCGGTACGCATTTATGATTAGAACATGTGATCACATTCCCTTGTGACTGCACAGCAAGCATCAGATCAGCAAAGTGGGCCCTTCCAGCCATGGGCCATCTGCCAGCGATGGGACACTAAAGGGTATGGCAGGGAGGTGTAAAATTCTGGTTCCAGACTTCCTTGATTTAATTGCTGACTTTGGCCGGACACCCAACCAATCTCAATGCTTTGGTTTCTTCAGCCATAAAACGGGAATAAATTACTCCTGACAATCTGGGTTTGAATCGAGGAATAAGTAAATATATGGAAAACTCTGAGAATTGCACGTAGGTACCACTTAAAAAAAAAAGGTAGTCGTTTTCATTCTTAGTGTCGGTGCTGTTGTCCGATTCCTTTGTTTTGTGGAAAGAGTAGGTGTTTCTGGAGGGCGGGGCATGATCACACCCTTCTTTGTATTCCCCCAACTAGTGCGGGGACTCGGCCAGCTTTTATAAACCTTGCTGGTAGTGTGCCTGCCTCAGGATACAAAGGCTGCTGATGTTAAACCTCATTCCAACCCTGCGAGGTCACTGTGACCCCCATTTTACAGAAGAGGGCCCTGAAAGGAGACAGGACGTGAACTGTCCGGTGTCACACACTGCTGGCAGGGGGCAGAGCCTCCAACTCCAAGGTCAGGGACCGGACGGGGCGGCAGGGATGCCAGGAATTCGGCACAGCTGACCCTCCTAGCCAGGACACCCTCCTTCCTCTGAACACTTCTTTTTTTTTTCCTGCCAAGAACATGGACATTCTGGAATATGAAACCTGCAAAACTCAAAACACTAGATCTGCATTCGTGTTGCAGAGCTGATTAAGGAAAGGGTGGGAGAAGACGAAGCCGTTTAATACAGGATGTCCTCGGCCGTGACCGTGGCCTCTTCTATTTTGGTGTGAATCTCCGGGAGGGGAATCTGACTGATGGCCACCACCACCAGGTTGGCGGCGTGGGCCGAGGCGCTGGCCACGCAGATCCAGAACGACTCTTCGTACTGCTCTTCCACCACCACCAGGCGGAAGAGCTTCTCCTGGAAGTTGGCGACCCGCTCGGTCAGGTCGTGCCACTTCACCGCGGCCACGAAGCTGGCGATGGCCAGAGCCACGGCGCCACCTGCAACCCAAAAGGCCAAACGCGCTCAGCTTCTGCTTGCAGCGCCGATGGCCGCACGCCAGTCGTGCCAAGTGGCGTTTCTCTGCTGCAGGCAGCCAGCTCTCGGCCGGTGTAACCGATTCTGGGGAAGACCCAGATGTTCATGTGCTTGCAAGAGCAGAAGGTGTGTGGGAGGAAGAATCAAGGTCCTCTGAGATCGGGGCTGACTCTCCATCCCTCTCAGGTACCCGCTTACCTCCTGCCGTGCTTTCCAGCCACTCAGGCCACATCCAATCTCTGGATATGTTAGGGTCTGTGTGTGGACCCCGAGGGCTCCCTGGGGCGACGTAAGATGCCCTCCCCGTGCAGACTGGCGGGGGCTCCATCTTACACTAGCCTCCATCCGTCCGTGTTTAAGGACAAGAAGGGAAGAGAAGAGAAGGAAGGTGGGAGAGGAGGAAAGGAGAGAAGGGGAAATTGGAAGATCCCCAGACGTCCGTGCTCCCCGCCTTTGCTGAGACTTTGGCTTCCTAGTTATCTCTCTCCTCCTGTCTCTGTCTCTGTGTCTCTCCCTCGCTCTCTCTCCTCTCCCCGTTCATCTTTCTGCTTCTCTGCAGCTTTACCATTTATGAAAATGATGAATCCTTTAAAAAGAATTAGAATAATAAAAATAATTACATCTTCACTGAAGAGAATGTGGACACCACAGAGAATCATGAAGATGAAAACAAATGTATTTTATCTCAACAGGAGAGAGACACGCCTGCAGCATTTTAGCGTCTTTCTTTACGTCCCGTGCTTTTGAGCAAAATTCGTCTCGCTGCTCTTGCTGTGTCAGACTTGCCTTTTCCCTCCCTCGGCCCTGCTTCCCTGGTGCCACAGGCTGACGCCGCGCCCTGTACATCGGGGCGGAACACTTTGTCCTGGCAACACCCCTAATGCAATTAAATTCCGAATGACATTTCTGGATACCAGATGGCTTCTGACTTCTCTGCAGCATAAGGCATGTGTGGACACCTTGTACGGCACCTTCCTGCTCCTCCCCCGCTCTCGCCTTCGCATAAACCCCTCCTGAATGGTGGCACTTAAGGAAGTCCCTATTTCTATGCCTTTTGATACTAACGTTTTGCAAAAATGCCTTTTTAAAATACGCTCCTCGGCGGAGTCTGCGTGGAGGAGCCGCCCTCCAAGGAAGGACGGCGACAGAGATGAGCATTGGGTTCAAAGGAGGATTCAGCGTTTTGCACCTGCCAGTCACTGTGACGACTCAAGCGGAGGGAAATATGGCCCCTGAGGTCTAGCTGCGGCTGAGGCACACGGGAGCAGTGATTCCAAGGAAGCCCACGGTCTGCAAACCTGGTACCTTTGTCATCACTGACTTGTGGCCATTACGTTCTATCACACAGTAGGGCAACACTACCTGCTCTGTACGTGATGGTCTGTAAGGTGAAGGCTCTGCGGGGGTGAGGGTGGAGGTGAAGCCTTGACTGTTTGACCTGGGTTTCCTGAGACAGCCCTCACTTGTTGGGATTTTGCTGTTTTCATTACAGATGATTTTTTAAGTACATAAAAACATGTGAATTAGTTCCTCTGCATCAATATTCACACACACACACACACACACACACACACACACCTGCTTCTATCTTGGAAGATAGGTCTTGGTCATAAATGACCCGGGGGTGAGGGGAAAGACCAGGGCTTCGTCTCGGTCGTACCTGGGTGGGAATCCCACCTCCACAGCTCATGGCTGTGTGACCTTGGGGGACCTTAGGACGTCTCTGAGCCTCAGGGGCTTCATCTGTAAACATGGGGCTAATTGGACCTCGTAGGGAGGTTGTGCAAATTAGATGAAGTCCCAGGTCCCTTCTCTTCTGTCAGGTGTGAAGGTCCCCACACCTGGCAGCAGCAGCTCCTCACCTCCTCCCTGCCCCATCTCCTCACCCCCAGGCCCTGTCTTCTTGCCTGAGCTGTCACCCTGTCCTCTCGGCCGCTCTCAGCCCTAAGCTGTTCAGACTCTTTAGCAACTTGATTATTTATTATGACAGAGTTTCTGCATCTTTTAGTAAAGAAGATATTTGGGCCCACCTAGAAACATTATACTCCTGGGGAAGGCCGACTGGGTAGGGGCTTTCTACTCTTCACCCCTTCTGCCCAGCGAGTCCATTACTCAGCCTGGTGGGGTGTGCACACGCATCCCCCTCCCGGCCCCTTCCTTACCTGCAAGGATGTTCCAGAGGCAGATGCCCCCGGGGCCGTTGACCGCCCTGTACGGGACCTGGATCATGTTGAGAATGGCAAAGCCCATGCTGACCAGAGCCAGGGCCAAGGCCAAGAAGAGGAGCAGCAGCGTGGTCACGTGCAGGCCTGCGTTGAGCTCCCTCACCAGGTGTGGGAAGACTGCAGAGAGGAGACAGCCCTAGTTAGCACCAGAGCTCCGTTCAAGTTCCTCAAGCCCATATGTGCTTCCCAGGAGGGTCTTCATGGGGGGGGGGTGAGAGCAAAGAGCAGTGGACTCCTGGTCCCCAGATTGCCTCTATCCCCCCATCAGGAGCCAGGATTCACAGCGCTGTTGGTTCCACCTGCTTTTCCATGCCATTCCCCTCTGGAGCCTTTGCCAGCTTACCAGTCTCCTTTTGTTCACAGGCCGGTGTCTTCCAAGCCTGAGAACTAGATCCTTTTCCTTTGAAGTGTCCTTTCCACTCAACAGTTTCCAGACGCTCCACGCTTACATCTTACTTCTGACTCAATTTACTTTCTTGTGTTTCCACTTATATTTATGTCTACATGATTATCTCATCAGCATCGGAAACTGTGCCCTGGCAAATGAGCTACTTCCTGAGGGATTTTTCTTTTAAGCCTCCTCTTCCCTTTGCGTCCTTTCTGCTGTAGGACCAAGCTCTTGGTCCCTTTTTATTCCAAGCCTGGGAGTTTGTCTCTTGGTTCATCGTCCCCTTTCTTGCCAATGCAGGACACACGACTAGCACAGTGATGCTCAGCAGACACCCCAATAGACAAGTCCCCTGTGTGAGCAGCGGGAGAAAGAGACTTTGCTAACATGCCCTGTGGGTGAGGGTGCAGGACAAGGCACTGTCAAGCCTTGGGGTGGGGGAGTGGATGTTAATTCATACGCCCTCTATCCAAGTTTCACTTCTAGGAGCAGCACTCCTGCATGTGCTTAAAGCTGTATCTATTGGGTATTCATTATAGTAGCAAAGTATGGGAGAAAGCCATATTATGAATCAATATGAGACTTTCAATAAATTAAGTGCAACCACATAATGAAAAATATATGAAGAACTAATCATATCCTCATATTGAGATGAACCCTTTCAGGTTTTGCTGGGGAAGTTGTCAATCATGAATTCCAGAAGGAGCAATGTGGGGTGGACAGTGGGAACTTGGGGGTCAGACTGACCTGGGCTGGGGGTCTGGCACTCAGGGCTTTGTGACCTTGGGCAAAGTTGCTTAACCCCTCTGAGCCTCAGTTTTCTCTTCCTGTCTGGCAGGGTGGTAGAGGGCTAGCCAATCACAGGTCACATGTCTGGCCTCTTGAAAATGAACTTAACTGTTACTCATGCATCTGATATTTTGAGCACCTACTATGTGTCAGACATTGTTCTCAGGGCTTGGGGCTCATTGGTGAATAGAACTGATGTGTGCCCTCAGTATGCTACCCACCAAGGGGGCAGAGACAGATTATAACTAATACGCATAGCAGATAAGTAAGGGCGTATGGAGCAGGCGGTTAGCATGTGCTGTCTTACCATGGGCTATTTTTATTGTCTCCCCTAAGCTCTGTTTTGCTTATTCAAGTCTTTGGAGTGTGGCTGCTCCTGATGGGGTCCATCCCTCCTGCAGGCTTTGCAACTTTGTTACTTGTCCTTGTTAATTACCCACAACTATTTAGGAAATTGTACCTTTTTCTGGCAGTTTTGAAACAGTCTCAAACTTCAGAAAAATCTCAAGGATGGTACAAAGGAATGTTTTTTCCTTGGGAGTCATCTGAGAGTAAATTTTCCCTTCATCCCGAGTATGTTAGGATCGAGTTCCTCTGAAAGGGACATCCTCTTGCCGGACGCAATGCAGCCACAAAGTCATTACCTGAACATGGTGCCGGATTGCCATCGCGTCCCAATGCCCTGTTCGGTTTCCCCCAATTACCTTAGTCACCGCCCACGTGACAAACAGAACCGCTTCAGAAACAAAGACTGCAGAGCGGGCTCATGGTCACCTTATAATATGGCCTTTACTTTATTTCTTTGTGTGTGTTCAGCTTTTTGTGTATGTTATTTTTAAAATGTATAATTTTTTATACATGTAACTTGTTTACAGCACTACATATGAGTTAGGAGAAGTTCACACCTCATCAGATGCTGTGCTTTTAATAGAGCTATTTTTCTAACATCACCCTGACCAGTTTAATTTCTTGGCACATATAAATATCTCTAGAGACTTTTATCCCCCCTGAATATACATATCAAATATTTTTCTTTCATGTATATAAACAATTCTCAATTGTATGATTATATTTGTCAACGGTGCAGCTTTCAGTCTTTATATACTTAAAAAGATCCTTAACCCAGCCAGGTTTCTGAAAACTCCACTTCTTAAATATAGACATCCAATAATGGATCCTTCATCCCCTTGCATTTGCATGATGCAGATTAATTATGATTTCACAGGACACTGTTCTCACCAGCCCCCTAATTGCTTGGTTCTAAGGGCTTGCAGATCATTGCTTTGTTTTTTATTCCCCAGAAGATCCTTCATCAACTGGGCTTGGATTCCTGCCTGGTGTTTGCTTGAAAAGCAGCTCAGAAGTGACATGAACTTGAGCCGCTCACGCTCCAGGACAGTGTCCAGCACCTGCCTAGGTCTGCCGGCAGAAGACGGCTTTGGACTGGGTGGTCTGCTCCCAGGGTCCGGGGGCAGAGCCCTTTGCTCTTCCTTAGCGGAGTGGCTTTCATATAAACAGCATCACCATGCTCCCTGCAGGCTCATTTCTGCAGGGGTCTGCACAGACACACCGCACTGGCTGAGGATGCCCGGTCCTGTGCTGGCTCCAAGGTCTGGCTCTGCTGTTTCCTGGCTGGGTGACCCCGGGCAAGGTAACCACTCCAAGCCTTAGTGTCATCGTCTGCAAAATGGGATCGTTCCTGACTTCTCTACACATCTGTTATGAGGCTTTAAAGAGACAAGCTGTATAAAGCACTTGCCAGAATGTCTGGCACAGGGAAGCGCTTGTTACTTTAATAGTTGTCAGTGAGAGGTAAACAACAAAGCAATACCATCCCTATTTCTAAGGTTTCTTTGGGACTTTACAGGAAAAAAGACTGCCTTGGCTCACTGTGGTCTTTGACATTATGCCCCAGATCGAAGCAGTGGAATTCCACATTTAGACGCAAGCACTCATACACACTGAACAAAAGTGTTTCAAGCAGCTTTCACGTCTCAAATATACTCACTCGAGAATTGGGACCGGCGGCCCCCGAGCCCACACTGTCGCACCTTACACCCTCGAAAGAGCCCGTAGTAAATGTCCCCAATGAATTTGACCAGCTCTGGGTCCGTGGCGTTGACTAGGTCCGCTCCAGTCTGACACAGGATCTTCCCGCTCAGCCAGTGGGGCACTGCCAGGGCAGTGATGAGCAGGACGAAGGAGGAGAAGCTCAGGAGGGATGCCAGCCCAAACCACGTCTTTTTGAGCCATCCACGCATCCTCGGGGCCACAGGTCATGCCCCAGGTATGTGGGCAGATGCGGGGATCCTTGACATCTTCTGGATGTACCGCACCCCTCTGCTCCAGGGCCAGCTCTTCCAAACCCACCCTTTCAGGATTTCCAGTGCAGCCCCTGGTCCCGCCTAGCACCTCCCCACGGTCTGTGTTTACTACAACCACATCCGGAAGTCTCTGCAGAGGCGGGCTTCACCTGCCTTGAGTGTTGGGAGTGTGTTACTGCGGGAAGTAACCCTATATCTCCCACTGGACTAATGTTTCAGCAGAGGGTTTAATTGTTCCTCCTTTCAAGTATGTAAATAACCCTGGTGTGGACCTCTTCACCATGAGAAGCCGTGAAGGCAGCTCAACAAGGTAGATCTGGCCATAAAGAGGCTCTAACCCGTTTCCAAAAACACATCTGGTAGAAGGAAAACAAAAATGGAATGATTAGCACTTGAGTATTATCAACAATGCACTGTATCACATGTCGATCTTGGATGCGGGCCTGGCCATTTCTTGCTCTTAAAATGTCATTGCTGCCATAATCCCCAGAACCGCTATAAATACCATGAAGTGACCTCTGTTTTCAAGGCTTCTAATTGAAATGTGTCAACGAGGTTTTATAATTCCTGGATTTATCACTGGATGAATCTGCTGTGGGTAAAATTACAACATGAGCTAATTTGTGGCGCTTGGGGTGGCCTGGACCCCAGTCCATTCCTCTCCCTCTACCTTTTGTGTCATCTGAGATGGGACAGAAAAGTGTTTTTCTAATGTGTGTGCAAATAATTATCAGACTGCTGGGGGATTTACCTCTTCTATTGGTGAAGATCTGTCTTTTTCTTTAATTTGTAAGCACTCAGACTGAAATATTCCCTGTTTTCTACCTTATTCCATGGCTTTTTAATTTTTGACTTTTACTCTATTAAAACCAGGGAGTATTTATTTATTTATTTATTTTAAAGATTGATTTATTTATACAAGAACGGAGTACAGGCCAGATGCGTGGGAGGGTGAGAGAATTCGCCAGAGACAGAGTGGGGAGCAGAACAGGCAGACGGACGGAAGACACTGCTGAGGGGAGCAGCGGGCACGACAGGAGAGGTCTGCTGCGCCATGTGGGAATCTCCCTGGCCGGCCAGGAATCGAACCCGCGCTGCAGAGGCTGCAGACAGCTTCACAGTGCGGCGCTCAACCGCCTGCACCACCAGGGAGGCCCAGACTTTTACTCTATCACTGAATGTTAATGTCACGTGAGGTAGCTTTGGGGAACAAAATTGGGCAGAGGAGGCACAGCAAAGCCTTAGTTGATGACGTGTTTTTCTGTAAATAGCAAAGTACAATGAACAGACTTAGAAGAGGACTTGGCACCTTGATAATCGATCAATGTTATCCTTACTTTAACATCAAGCTTGCTTTGAGAAGGCAGGATGTGTTATACCTGAGCCATATTTCTGCCCCAAATGATTGAGTTAGGCCAAACTTTGGTGTTGTAGGGGTTAAGCCCCGATTTCTAGAAAAATCCTATGAGGAGCAAATGATTCCTAACAAGTCCTTGTTGTGCTACGTGGAGGTGGGTGTGGTTAAGCAGATTTCTAATTATTAGAGCCCAGGGCTGAAATCACTCTAGTTCTGGGCAAGTGGCTTCTCTGGCCTCAGTTTCCTAATCTGTCCCAGGATTGTTGTGTCAAGTAGCACCTGGGAAACAGCACCTGCCGGTCACTTGGCACTGCGTATGGCACTCAGAGGGCACAGGATAAATGGTCTTCTCCCCATCCAGCCTTCTAGCAAGTCTGTTCATGAAGCTTAGGATAATAAAACATGCTGCAGGCTGCGTCCAGTTCAGTGGTGACGGCTGTCTGCGTGCCTTATCTGCCATGAGTTTATTGAGCAAACTCTGGTGTCTGATGTACACGGGGCTCTGTGATTGGGTGCCAGGCAACACAAAGATATGTGATAAGGGATCCTGCTGTTGGGAAGGGTACAATAATGGTAGGAGCCTGATTCTCAACCAAGGATGATTTTGCCCCCCATGGGACACTGGGCCACATTTGGGGATATTTTTGATTGTGATGACTGAAGGCACAGGGGCTGCTACTGGCATCTAAGAGGCAGGGACCAGAGATGCTGCAGGCGCCCTCCAAGGCTGGGACAGCTCTTCCCCCGCATCTCTGTACAAACATAAGGGGCACAGGCCCTACATCCGAGCTAATTACAAGAGAGAAAAATGCCAGACTCTGCCATCTGGAAGCTTAAATGTGAATTTGTGGACCTTTGGCCTTTGGACATTTGGTCTGATGAGGGCTCCCCTAGAAAGGCCCCAGAACAGCGTTTCAGGACTTTACATGGTTAAAATCGGGTGCCCACCAGGCCAGAGAGGTTATATTTTTTTCTTAGAAATCTCGCAATCATTTTCCATGGTATTTTTTTTTTTTTGGTTTGTTTTATGCATATATTTAAACATTTAAGATATAGTATGCTACAATTTTGGTATCACGGTTTTGGCAAGTTTTTATTTTCAAATAGGCCCTCAAATGTATATTTAAATATCCCCAACTTCCAAGTGGGAAGCATGGGGCGCTCACACTCTCTCATCGGCCCAGCGCGCTGCAATGGAAGCCCTGGGGAACTCAGCTGACCTCACTGCGCTCTTACTGGCGGCCACGCCGCTCCAGGCAGCAGTGTCTTAAACATCCTTTCCAAGGCTCTGACAGGAGGTGTTCCCAGGTGACCGGCGAGTAGACTTGGGTAACACAGCTGTTAGGGCACCCAGCTTGGGGGGTGGGGGCAGCAGCCACCGCGCCTCAGAGCGCAGCTGACCAAGAACAGAAGCGTCAAGCTCCTGTGGCCCCTCCGGGCGCAGGCCCCGCGCGCACCCGCTCCTCGCCCCTCCCCGCCCCAGCCCGCGGGGCGCCCCGCACCCCGCGCCCGGGCCTCTCCAGCCCCCGCCCCGCCCCGGGGGGTGGCCGCGCCGGCCGAGGGGGCCGCGCGCTAGGCGGCAGCAGCGGGCGCGGCGCGGCCCGGGGACGCGGCGGGTCCCTCTCGGCGGGGCGCGGGGCGGGGCGCGGGGCGGGCGCGGGGCGGGGCGGGGCGCGGGGCGGGGCGGGCGCGGGGCGGGGCGGGCGCGGGGCGGGCGCGGGGCGGGGCGGGGCGCGGGGCGGGGCGGGCGCGGGGCGGGGCGGGCGCGGGGCGGGGCGCGGGGCGGGCGCGGGGCGGGCGCGGGGCGGGCGCGGGGCGGGGCGGGGCGCGGGGCGCCCGGCGGGGTCGGGCAACGGGCTGGCTGGGGCGCGGGGCGGGCTGGGGCACCGGGTGGGCTGGGGCGCGGGGCGGGGCGGGGCGGGGCGGGGCGCGGGGGACGGGGCGGGGCGGGGCGCGGGGCGGGGCTGGTGCTGGGGCGCGGGCGCGGGCTGGGGCGCGGGCTGGGGCGCGGCGGAGCGGCATGGCGGCGGGCGCGGGCGAGGCGCGCCGGGTGCTGGTGTACGGCGGCCGGGGCGCGCTGGGCTCGCGCTGCGTGCAGGCGTTCCGGGCCCGCGACTGGGTAATCGCGGGCGGGCGCGGGGGGCATCGGGGCGCAGGGGGGCGAGGGGGCTGCAGGGAGCGGGGTGCCCGGGCTGCAGCCCCAGGCGCGCGCGGGTGCGGGGTCTCTGCGCAAGGAGGGGGTGCGGGGGGTGCCCCAGGGCCTCGCCGGCCGGGGTGTCCGGCGTGACTCGGGAGAACGTTCCCGAGGGCGAGGGCCGGGCGAGGAGAGGCGGGGTGGGACAGTGTGCACCCCGCAGGGGAGGTGGAGGTTGGGGGGCTGATCCGGTAACGGGGGGTGAACGGCCCCGCGTCGGGGTCGTGGCGTGGAGGTGACCCGGCTCGCGGGTACGGGCGCGGCGCCCTCCCTTTAGCCCGCGCTGGGCTTGGGATTTTGGAGGCGGGTCCCCGAAATGCGGGTGCCCCCTGCTTCCCGGGGACGGCCTCCGCGGCCTCCGCAGAGCCAGGGGTCTCCCCGGGGGTGCTGCGGGGTCTCGCCCGCGGGGAGCCGCGACCCGGCCGCCCGGCTGGACTCGGCCGGTGCTGGCTGGAGGCTCCGCCCCGCGCCTTCCTGAGGCACAGCCCGCGGGGGGCCCTGGGGGCTCCCCCGGCTCAGACGCCCCGCAGCAGCCCGAGCTGGGACGCCAGCGACCGGGCCACAGAGTCTCGGGACTCGGTTCTGGCTCGGAACGCGGCGTGGGGATTGTGCTTTCTAAACGCGTGGCCCCTCCTGCCGCCCACCTGCTTCAACCTGAGGAGTCGGGTTTAGGGGTTCGTCCTGGTGTGGCATGGATGGGGTGCAGCGGGACAGTGAGGGCCCAGGGCTAGGGCGCGCTGCGCCTACCTGCTCCTAGTTCCTCTTCCCGATCACCTTTCTAAAAAATCAAATTTTTTAGTTGAAGACACTCTGTTAGCAGCAGGTGAGTTCCAGGGGTGCCTCATTCTAGTCCCACGTCTGTACCCACTACAGTAAGCTCAGGCCGAGTCAGGCCTGCCCTTCGCCCTCCTGTGCCTGAGTTTATTTTTGCCAAATAACTTTAATGCAGTGGATCCTGTTGGTGTCTGCATTTTGTGGGCGAACAGGCTGTGCTTTGCCCTGGTGGAGGCACCCTCTAGGCTAGGGGGTGGTGCCACCTTTGTCTCGGTGCCCCCTGTGGCTGGTGATGGGTAGGAGAGCTCCTGAATGGATGCACTGTTCCTCAAGCTTGGGCTGGAGAGTGTAAACTGTAGGCCTTGGGTCCTGGTGTTTTGTGATTTCAAAGCCTTGCTTCCCCCCAGTTCATGCTCACACTGGCCCTGTGCATTGTCAACCCCCTTGGGGGGGTGGTGAGCGTCTGCTGATGTGGGGGTGAGTAGCCAGGACTCAAACCCAGGCTTCTCTGAGTTCTAAACCCGCAGTGCTCTAGGGCAGGGGTCCAAAAGCTGCAGGCCCCCTCCCTGGGTGGTGAGAATCCAGCCTCCCTCCAGTTTTGTACAACACAGGGGTAAGGATGGCCTTACATTTTTAAATGGTTGAAAAGAAATGCGTAGAATATTTGGCGACATGGGAAACATGCGGGAAATAAGTTGCTTTAGGCTTACCCACGACCCGGGGCTGCTCTCCTGCACTCGTAGGGTTGAATAGTGGCGACTGGGCCCGCAACCACTAAGGCTGAAATGTTTATTTCTGACGCTTTGCAGAAAGTCTGTAGACCCCGGCCCAAGAGGTCCCAGAAGTTCAGGGTTTGGTATTTTTTTCTTAATGTGTAAACAAATTGCTTTAAATTTTATTTTTATTTATGCATACAAGAACTGGGGTATAGGCCAGAGATGTGGGGGGTGAGAGGGTTCACCAGAGACAGAGTGGGGAGCAGAACAGGCAGACTGACTGAAGTACACTGCTGAGGGGAGCAGCGGGGAGACAGGAGAGGTCTGCTGCACCTTGTGGGTAGCCCCCTGGCCGGGGATTGAACTCAGGCCGCAGTGGCTGGCCATAGCTTGATAGTGCTGAGACTTTAACCCCTGCGCCACAAGGGAGGCCCTGTAAAAATTTTTTTTTTGGTGTTTCTCCCTTTTTTATTCACCACTGATGGGATTCGGTGAATAGGGCCCTTGGGTCCCCTCTGAGAAACATTTTGGCCGAGGGGACAAAATGTTTGCATAGACACGGGCAGGCAAAGGCTGCATTTTAAAAGGTCAGGTTCCTTAAAGAAGATGCGTGCATAGACACAGGCGGGCAGGTTTGGCACAGGAGCTGCGTTTTGCCAGAGCCACACGTGTTCTTACAGAATGTTCCTTTGGGGGAGTCCATTCCCTTGCGGAATTTTACCCCTTGAAGCTCTATCACTTCTGACGTCTGCTCGCTTTATCTGTAAGGACTGGTGTCTCTGCAGTGCCCGGCTGTTCCCCGTGTCCACGACCGGCTGCCTACTTAGCAGATTTAGTGACTCATTAATCATTTCTAGCCCCCACCCCCTCCAGTTTCTGGGGTAGTGCAGCCTCTCCTGAGTTTCCTAGTCTAACCTTCCATCACCACCACCCCTTCAGTCCTCTCGACCCTTTCTCCCTCACGCCTCCCTTTGTTTAAATTTTATATATTTGTTTGCATCGTTGTTCATTTTTGTGCAAAGTCCGCTTTCTCATCTCGGTTATAGTCCCCGTGAAATCCCCACCGCCCATTCCCCCGGGTCCCATCACCATAGTCCCGTGTGTTCTCCCCACCCCTATTTTGATCCCACTCCCTTCTCCCCCCCTGCAGAATGTCTCGGTTTATAGTTGCTCATTGATTTTGATTTTCACTTTATTATCATAACCGCCACCCCTTGGCCTCAGAACTCCCACCTCATGTATTAGTGCCTGCTGGTATCGGTCCGTATTTGCTTTGTCAAATGCAGATGTGCAGTATTTGGCTTTGTCGCTCTGTTTTACTACACATCACCACCCCCAATTCCCTCCTTGGCTGTAAATGCCACACTTCATCTTTCCTAATGGCTGGACGGTGTTTCACAGTGTAGACACATCTCCTTGATCCAGTTGCTTATCCACGGCCACTGAGATGCTGCCGTGTCCCAGTTCTTGTGAAAAGGGTTGCCATCAACTCTGCACAGGGACTGGTCATTAGAGGTTAGCGTGGAGAGTGAAGGGAGGTGATTGGGACCAACTGGGCTGGACTGGGGGCCAGTAGGGACTGGCTGGGCACACCCACCCTGCGAGCATGAGAGATCAGTCAGTTCTTTCTCTAGTGGGTTTCCATTTCTGTCTCTATTTCTCCCCTTTTTGGGAATGCATCTTTAAAGGTTTAACAACTTACTGTCTCTTGACCAAAATGTCTCTCCTCCGCTCCAGTGGGTGGCCAGCATTGACGTGGTGGAGAATGATGAGGCCAGTGCCAGCGTCGTCGTTAAAATGACAGACTCGTTTACGGAGCAGGCGGACCAGGTAATCGCAGCAAAGGCCCGGCGAGCGTGTGGGGGGCACATCCCTGAGACATCCGGGGCGCTGACCCAACTTGCGCCTGCTGGGATCTGGCTCTAGGCCACAGAGCATGACTTAAGAATGAAGCAGGGGGCAGCCGGGCACCCAGGGTGTTAGAACAGAAATAGGAAATGACTCAGGAGTGGGCGGCATCCCATCAGCTAGTAGGAAGGAGAATAGGAAAGGTTTCTGAAGGCAAGACAAGGAAGCCATAAGCAGAAAGTCAGGTGCGGGGAACCCACCTTTGGGACTGGAAGGGGTCTGCGGGGCAGGCTTCTCATGCTCCTGTGGGGGAGGGAGAGGATGACTTCATGGGTCAGAAAATTCCACACCCACCAGTTAAGGCTGCATTCCTGGGGCAGGTTGTAGTGGCAGCGATTAGGCAGTGTGTCTTGGACTTAGCACGAGCGATTCCATCTTGAGCCTGTTGTCTCTTTTCAACAAGGGTAAAAGGAAGATCCCAAAAAGAAAAGTCTGCGTTTGGTGAGATATTCAGGAGGAGAGGCCCAGGGAAGTCCAGGAACTTCTTAGAAGGAAAGCTTTGCTGCGGGGTGTAGGAAAAGGAAAGATTGGTTGCCACTGCCAAAGTCGTCTCCTTGAAGGAGTAACTTGAGGCCTCAGAAATTGCTGCAGAGAGAGGCCAGGGCTGAAATGTCACTTCTGGGAGGGAGGCAGGGCCTTAAGTCATGAAGACTGATTTTAATCAAGCAGTGAGGAGGCCTCTTCAGCAATTCTAGAAAAATAAGGAAAGGGTCTGGTCCACGGGCAGAATTGCCTGTCTCATCGAACCTTTATTTTAATAAGTTGTTAACAAAAGCACATGTATATATTTTCAGTGCTTAAAAGACATTTCAAGCCAACAGAAGCAGAGAAAAGTAAAGTGAACTCCCCGCTTTGTACTCAGGATTTACCAACATGTTGCCATTGACAATGTATTTTTTTATTGCTTTTTAAATTTTAATTTTAAAATTTTTCTTGGAGCTGCAGCTCAAGGGGCTCGGGGGTTGGGGAGAGAGTAGCACTGACTATCTCAGATTATGATCACGTCGTTTGTGAAGAAAGTCTGGAAAGACATAGACAGGAAGGGGGGCTGTGGGCCCTGCAGCGCTCACTGGTTATTTTTCATCTTTTCTTTATTCATTGTTTATTTCAGGACACTTAGGTCCCCACCCTTCAGCATGTTCACAAGAAGACTAGATTTAGATTGCTCGAGCAAAATCGCGGGGAAGGCAGTTGGCTTCACAGTCCAAAATGCTCATCCTGGAGCGGGGTGAATCCGATGGCCAGTGTTCATTGCCAGCTCTAGGCTGACTTCAAAGCGAGTGAAAAAACCGAGGTGCCTGTTTAGGGCTAACTGACCGTGTGCATTTCTGACCCTTGCCTTGAAGGTGACCGCGGAGGTGGGGAAGCTCCTGGGCGAGGAGAAGGTGGACGCCATCCTTTGTGTGGCCGGAGGATGGGCCGGTGGCAATGCCAAGTCCAAATGTGAGTCCTTTTCTGAGTTAATCATTCATTCCCGTCTGCTCTCTGCCCAGGTGGGAGGCCTGCCAGAGTCCCCGGGGCAGCTCTGTGAGGTGAGGACGAACAGCATCTCTTTTAACAGGCGAAGGGAAAACATCCCATAGAGGGAATAGGGAGGGGGCTGTGGGGTTTGGCGGGTGAAGAAGAGGCAGAAGGAAAGCAGCCATTGTTTCTGCCCCGATCGTCAGGCCTCAGGCCTGGGAGTTGGGGCATGGGGCACTGGAGAGGTACAAAGGAGGCACGCGTGAGTGTTTATGAAAGGGGGGGTTAAACAAACTTTTTAGAAAGTTCATTTTTCAATTTTATCAGGAATACTTCGCGCATACAGACAGGCCGATGAACAGTTCAGCGAACACCCCACACCCTCCAGCCAGCTCCGAAGTTACCATTTGCCATCCCTGCCTTCTCTCCCCTTTCCTGCCCGTCTGTACTGACCCTGTGTTTCTTGGTTAACCATTTGAAATGAACTTGATGCTTCATAATATTTCAGGGCATCTCTCCAGAGCATAACCCCATTCTGTGACACGATCGCCGTTTGGCGATGGTCGTACCTAAGAAAATGAACAGTAACTCCGTGGCAGTAGTATCCAGCCTGTATTTAAATAACCCCAGCTCAGTCCATACCTTTTACACTTTTTTCCCCCTGAACCTATACCAGTCAGGGTTCATGCACTGCATTTTATTGTTGTCTTTAGTCTCTTCCTCTAGATTATTTTTTTTCTTGCAAGGCTTGGTGAGTCCAGATTAATTTTTATGTTCACTATATACATTCTGAATTTGCCTTACTCTTTATTGTTTAACAGATTCTTTTTTTTTTTAATGATTTATTTATTTATACAAGAATTGGGGTATAGGCCAGATGCACGGGAGGGTGAGAGGATTCGCCAGAGACAGAGTAGGGAACAGAACAGGCAGACTGATGAAATACACTGCTGAGGGGACCAGTGGGCACAACAGGCGAGGTCTGCCATGCCATGTGGGACCCTCGCCAGCTGGCCGGGATTGAACCTGTGCTGCAGAGGCTGCAGACAGCTTCACAGTGTGGCAGTCAACTGCCTGCGCCACCAGGGGAGGCGCTTAACGGGTTCTTTTAACCCCAGTATTAAATTCACAGTAACTGGTAAATGCCAGTTGCTGTGAACTGGAATTTAGGATGGAGACTTCTTCCAGTCATGTTGACTCTGCAGGAGGTGGGAGTTCTCCCTGAGCCGGGGGCATCTTCTATCATATTGCACTGGGGCTCCCGCCGGGTCAGGTCCCTGCCCGTCTGGGGTGCTGGCTCCCTGGTGCTGGGTGAGGACGACTGCCCGCTCACTTCCATTGTGATGGTCCGTTTTTCTGTTTTCCGTTGTAAGTGATCCGTGGGCAGGTGCTCTGGCCTTGTGTGTGATCATTCTGTTCCCAAACACCTGGAGAACCCCAAATTCCCAAGACCTAATGGTTCTGAGCCTTTTGGATAACCTCTCCCAAGTCAGGTTACCCCTTGGGGGTTGGAACACAGTGGCTTTCTGTCATTCTATGCTGATCATCCAAAGAAATTGATTTTCTGAACCACAGTGAAACGTGATACTGATATTTGGTGGGGTGATCAGATTCGCTAACCCCTTTTGTGTGTCTGGGGGACAGAAGTGACAGGCGTGGATCCAACAAATTATTTCCTAGTCCTTTTTATCAGGGACAGGCAATGCCTTGCTTACCAGCTGCTGAAGACCCCCCGTCCTGTATCAGGAGGGCCTCTGTGGGTTCTGGGTGCAGCTTCGTTGGCTCTCCTCTGTCCGTTTGGGAGAACCTACCTAGACACCCACATTCTTTTCATAGACTGACTGCCCTTTGTAAACAGAACCTGAATTAAGAGCCAGTCCAGCATTGCCGTCAACCCCTCCTCGTTGGTTGGCTGAAATTTCACCAGTTTACAAGTGAGGGGCTGAGACTGGTGGTCACAGGGTCTGGATTCGAACCTGCATCTCCGCCACAAGCCATGGACTCTGGGCTCTTGGTACCAGAACTTGTAGATGAAGGACTGGGAGGGGGGCAGCCTCGCATCCTGGCTGGTGTCGGGCCTGCTCAGGGGCTGAGCTCGCCTTCGGGTTTTTGGCCGCCACATCGAGTCTGTGCCGCTTTCTTCTCAGCGCTCTTTAAGAACTGTGACCTGATGTGGAAGCAGAGCATGTGGACGTCCACCATCTCCAGCCACCTGGCCACCAAGCACCTCAAGGACGGAGGCCTCCTGACCTTGGCTGGGGCCAAGGCTGCCCTGGACGGGACTCCTGGTAAGCCCTCTCCCCGTCTGTGAAATGGGGTGCTCGCAGGGGGCACCTGCCTGGGAGGAGGCGGGCTGAGGAAGTCCCTCCCCTCAGTGGCGCTTTCCAGCTGGGTGAACTCTACTTCCTTGAAGGCCTGGATCTTTTCAGGGAGGGGCTGCTGGCCCCTCATTTGCTTGCCCTGAGCCATGTTGCTGTGCTGGTGTATTAGTCTGTGACTCACCAGGGGACAGTTGGTCGTAGATCTTAATTAATAAACATGTGTTATCTGTAAATTGTGTTCATATGTGCCAGGGAAGCAGCTGGCCCCGGAAAGAATGTGGGTATAGGATGAGAGGTCTGGGGTGGATGCTTCACCTGGTTGTGTGTGGTTTTGAGCCCATTTGATCTCTGGGACCTAATTTCTAACGCAGTTTCTGTAATGGTCAGTAGTGGCGTGAACAGCCCCTCGAAGGGCAGCTGTAGGCACTGGAGGCGTTGCCCGGTACGTGGTGCCCAGCACGTGGTAAGTCTTACAGTCTCCTGTTCCAGCCACGCGTGTTCTGGTCTAATCCTGGGTAGACGTCATAGTTCTCTTTTTCACTCGACAGCTAAGGAAACTAAAACTTAGAGATGTTAAGTAACTTACTGCTTATGCAGTTAGTAAGTTGCAAACTTATTTTTTGCCAAAGCCCTGATTAATTCCAAACCGTGTGCTTCTCCTGCCACATCACGCAGGCCCATTCTGCAGTTTTTGCTGCCTGCGTTCATTCGCTGGGGCAGCCGGAGCAGAGCGCCATGGGCTGGGGGCTTCAACCACCGAAATGTGTTTTCTCACCATCCTGGAGGCTGGGAGTGAGAGCAGGGTGTTGGCAGGGCTGGTTTCTTTCTGAGGCCTCTCTCCTGGGCTGGCTGGTGGCATCTACCCTGTATCTCCTTCCACGGCCTTCACTCTGTGTCCCAATCGTCTCTCCTTGTAAGGACACCAGTCGTATTGAATTAAGGCCACGCAGATGACCTCACATTAACTCTTTCACTTCTTCAAAAGCCCTGTCTCCCCACACAGGTCCAGCCTCAGGTACTTGTGGTTGGGACTTCAACATATAAATATGGGGGGGACCCAATTCGATCTATAGAATCCCCTGGGGGATAAGCCTGTGGGTGGGCGTGGGTATCTTCACAGGGAGGCAGGAAGTACCTACCATCGGTACCTTCTAAATGAAACTTTCCCTAAAAAATAACGGGAGCTTTTGGGGACCTCTTTTGTAAGTGGTAGAGACCTTGCACATCTTTTTGAATTTTAATGTAACTCACCAAACTGTGAGACACTTAGAAATTAACAATTTCTTGCCACTCGCTTTATACTTCTCAGCGCATTTGATCTTATAAGGCCGTGGCTATTACGATCATTAAGGCTGTGGAAATGAGAGCTGTTAGTTCTGCCAAGACCTGATTTTCATTAAAGATGACATCGAACAGTGGCACCAGGAGGGAAACAGAGAAATGAGTAACAGCATGACATTTGAAAAAGAAAAGCTGGCACTGCAGACTGATTTTTCTAAAGGACAAAACACTTGCCTCCTTCTCTTTGGTTTGTAAATATTTTCTTTGTGGCTTTGGATTGTGGTTAAGATTGCAGGCTCTGGCACCACGCAGGTTGGTCTTGTGGTTTTGCCACTTATGATGTGATATTTGGCAAGTTACTTAACATTTTTCTTTGTCATTTGTAAAATGGTGCTAAATAAGAGTACAGCTCTAGTCTAGTGGTTGTGACTTGTCAGCATCTTCATGGATGTAAATGATTTAGGAAGAAATGATAGAAAAGAATCTCCTTGGCTGTATTTGACCTGGTTTGGGTCATAGGGACATCCTCAATGCAACCTCTGGCTGGACTGAAAGGATGAACGTGTCCACCGCAGTGGACATTGACAAGATGAGCTCAGGAGAACTAAAAAATAAGGCCAGGAGGTGGTAGAAAATGACGGTGGCAAACAAACCCCAGAAGGGTTTTTTTAAGGAGGAAAAGGTCAGGTATAGGAGCTGTTTCTGCTAAATCAACTGAGAAAAGAATGTAAAATAAATGTTCATTTGATTTAGCAACATAATGATGACTTAGGAGCTTGGCAAAGAAGTTTTACTGTGTGGTGGGTCAGAGAAAAGAGCAGAGTACCCCAGTTAAAAACTAAAGGGGGAGTGGCAGATATACAGACTCGGGTGATCATCAGGAAGAAGTAGATACCTGGATGGTAATTTAAAAAAGATAGCGTAGGCCTCGACAGTGTGAGCTGTTACTGGGATTCACTCCAGGCTGACTTTGGTTCAGCCACTTTTACTGTAGATAACATTGTTCATATTTATTTATTTTTTTAAAGATTTATTTATTTATACACACAAGAGCTGGGGTATAGGCCAGAGGTGCAGAAGGGTGAGAGGATTCACCAGAGACAGAGTGGGGAGTAAAACAAGTAGATCTACTGAAATACACTGCTGAGGGGAGCAGCGGGCGAGACAGGAGAGGTCTGCTGCGCCATGTGGTTTGCTCCCTGCCGGGGGATCGAACTCGTGCTGCAGTGGCTGCGGACAGCCTCGTAGGTTGTGTCTTAATCCCTTGCACCACCAGGAAGGCCCATGTTTGTTCATCTTTAAACTCTTGGTTAATGTGCTAAACTTCCTAGAATCAGACATCTTCTAACTTGGCTTCCGACCCCAGAAAAACCTGAGGAAATCTGTGTGTGGTTTGATAGTAAATGAAGAACTGTAGGAACTATATGTTTGAAAGGTTAGATTGGCCTTCAAACCCAACCAGGGTTGTTCAAAAATGAAGTTTGCTTTTTAAAAATCTTTTTGGTTATGGTTAGACTAAATCTGTGGACGTGATTATATTGTCACTTTTTTTTTTAACCACTGTTTATTGAGACAAAGTTGGTTTACATGATTGAGTTTGTTTTAGGGGCTTAAAGGTTCAAACCTCTACACCCTGCCCAGAAATCCTCTGTCATGTTCCATGGAGACCCCCTGTGCACCAACACGTGACCTTCCAGGTGTTGGGGTTCAAGTTTTGCAGCCAGATGTCATGTCATGTTATTGGTTTGGTTTTTTTCCAACCCTGTGTTTTGTTTCTCTCTGTTGCTTGTGTGCAAGAAACCAAGAGATACTGACAATCCCGCCTCCCCTTCCCCTGGGTTCTGACTGCATCTGTAGGCGTCAACCAGACGACACACATTTTGTTTACCATTCAAGGATCGAGCCGTGTTTGGAAACCAGTCTGTCGCGGCGACATCAGTCATTTTATAATTGGGAGCAAAGTCTCGTTATCATTGTGAAATGCGGTTTCTTCTCTCCTGCACATGTTCCCCTTACCGACCCTGTGTGGGAATTTGCAGAGTGAAACCATCAGGGGTGCCGGTAGCTGTTGCGTCACAGATTCCCGCTGGCATGTTATGGTAATGTTGGGAGTGTGCCGGGTCGGGCTGGATGAATGAGACTCATATGCCGGCTTGTTGGATCTCGTGTCCCCGACGACCTCCTGGCCCCAATGACACGGAGCGGACACGGAGCGGACGGATGGCGAAATGTGCTTCTTGTGCATCTGGATGACATTCTGAGACCTTGACCCTCTTTTGTAACCTGTGGTTGCAGCGAAGCAACCTGATGATTGGTTCCTGGGCTGGGCTGTGACCCTCCACCTCCCCCGAGACCTTGGATGTGGCCGTTATACTTTAAACAGCTGTGTGTGGGGTTTTGCAGGAGGCTGCTGACCTCTGGGAGGAATGATCTTCTCTGGAGGCGAGGAGGTGTTTACAGCCATTGACCCTTCTTTGTGGCTGCGGCCTAATTGCAGGCACACCTGACCACTCAGTGAGTTTCCCATGTCAGTGGGGAGGCAGGCAGCGTGTGGACAGGTCAGGATGGTGCCCAGGCCGTGCTTTCAACACGCACCCTTCCCTCTGGTTCAGTTACCCTCCGCCAATTTGTAAGAAGGAAAAGCATAGCTAAAGGAATAGACTTCTTTTTTTTTCTATTCATTCATTCATTCATTCATTCATTCATACAAGCACTGGGTACAGTCAGAAGCATGGGAGGGTGAGAGAATTCACCAGAGCCAGAGGGGGAGCAGAGCAGGCAGACTGACAAAGTACACTGCTGAGGGGAGCAGCGGGCATGACAGGAGAGGACTGCCGCTCCATGTGGGACCCTCACCGGCGGCCGGGGATTGAACTGGCGCTGCAGAGGCTGTGGGCAGCTTTGCCGCCCAGCGCTCAGCCACTGCGCCACCAGGGGAGGCCCAGGAATAGACTTCTTTTTGAAGGCAGCTCACTCCGAGGGGCCAGGCTTAGTAGGTCAAGCCCTTGGTCCACTTGGTCACTTTCTCACCAGAGGTCCCCATAAAGGAGGTGCCCCATCACCCCTGATTCACAGGTGAGAAGACTGAGCCTTCCCAACACCTCGGGCCACTTGCGAAGGCCGCACGGCTCGTACGGGTGAGCGGGTTGGCTGGCAGGAGGACCTGATGGGTTGACTCAGTCCTGGGGTGCGTGTGAACACGGCGACCGCGCTAGGTCAAGGGCTCAACAGGTGCACTGGTGGAGTGATGGGGCAGCTGGGGGTGGGGGTGATTCCACCTGTGGGGGAGCCCTGTGGAGGGAGCTGATTCCAGCAGGGCCTGGGAAGGGAGGAATTTGATAAATAGAAATGGAGGGCAGGACCTGACAGCAATGCCTCGTTTTGTGTGTAAGCAATTTCATTCGTCGGTTCTTTCACTGGAAAACTGACCGGGGCGGAGTCAGCGGTCACGTGGAGTCCAAAGAAATGCAGGGGCTGGAGAGGGCCCTGCCTGCTCCGACCCCATCCCTTCAGCGCCCCGGACCCCAGGCCCAACCATGGTTGGGGCTTCTGCATGTCCTCCTGGGAGTTGTCTGTTCTCACGGGCGCCCACACTCACGGGCGCCCACACTCACGGCTCACTCACTTCGTCTCTGCGGCACCGCCCAGTAGGTCTGCATAGACTCCGCTGCAGGCTACTTAGCACCTGAGGCCGGTACCCGTGTGGGCTAGTGCCGGGTGCCAGGAGCAGGTGCACTTGAAACGTCACGTCCCTTCTTCCTCCCCATCGATGTCCGTCCTTCCCTCCCGCCCCGCCCCTGCCGTGGTGTCCTCCGGACACCCCAGTGGCGGCCGTGGTTGCTGACCAGCCCCCTCTTCCAGGGATGATCGGCTACGGCATGGCCAAGGGCGCCGTCCACCAGCTCTGCCAGAGCCTCGCGGGGAAGAACAGCGGCATGCCAGTCGGGGCCGCCGCCGTGGCCGTGCTTCCGTAAGTGGGGGGCTGCCCCGGGGACCCCACCTCTGCCCCGTCGCCCGGGGCCCGCGTCCCAGAGTCGCTCTCCACCTGGGACTCGGGTGTGCCCTCGCCGTGGTTTGGAAATTCTCTGAAGGCCGTGGAGGATCTGGATCCGGGTGGGGTGTTGGCTCGCTCTTGTCCTCCCATGCCTCCATCACCCCGTCCACCCCATCCGCCCCTCCCTCCAACACCCCACCCCTCCCTGCTCTGAATCCCATGGGTTTTACCATCTGTGGATCTGTTGTCTTTCCAGTCATCAGTAGAGTCAGGGTGGAAGGGGGGGCCTGGAGACGGGGCCCCGTTTCTTTTGTAACGAGGGGCTGACCGCTGTCAGCTGTGTCGGCGGGAGCTGCTTGGGTCTGGAGCACCCCCTGGGGAGGACCCCTGTCTCTTGCCGAGGGGACACACGCCAGGGGCCTGGGCTGTCAGTTCTTGCACGCTCTGTGCCCGGGTCCCGCAGCTCCTTGCACTGATGCCCGAGGCTTGCTGGTTCTCGGGAGAGTCCTCCTTCCCGAATTCTCCGTTCTCTCGCTGAGAGTTACAAGGTGTCATGGCAAACAGCCACAGAAGGAGAATGAAGCTTTTTCCTAGCGAAAGGAATATTATTATTACCCTCTCAAAATCCTGAGAAGTGGATCTGCCACCGCAGGAAGGATGTAGACAGCAAAGCTGGTACTTATAAAGAGACCATATTTGTAAAAACATGGATGTGACTCTTTCATCTCGTCCCTGTCTGCCTAACTGGGCATCACCAAGTGCCCATTGGGCAGGCTCAGTGGGGTCGTTGTAAATGTGGGCTCTGTCTGGCCTTGATCATCCCCCTGTGAGCTCCCTGGCGGGGCTCCCTGGGTACCGGGGGGTCTGTGCCTTTCCCGGGCCAGGGGGACAGGCAGCGGCCCTTATAAGCGGAGACATTCCTGACACAAGCTTGTCTCTCGTGTCCATCTCAGAGTCACCCTGGACACCCCTATGAACAGGAAGTCAATGCCCGAGGCCGATTTCAGCTCCTGGACGCCCCTGGAGTTCCTGGTGGAGTAAGTATTACTGTGATGCTGGTGACGGAGCCGCTTCAGCCCGTTCTCCTGGCTACCGGCCCTGTGGGCCAGTGTGGGGCCGGTGGAGGGGACCACGCCTCGGTGCCTATGCAGGTTGACGGTGCCCAATGAGTCCCGGCTTCCCCACATGCCAGCGCCCCACTTGAGCATGCTCGGCTGCCCCAGACCTTGGTTTTCCCATCTGTGTGGAGTCCACAGTCACTGTCAGGAGGCTCAAACATGTGCGGTGTGCCAGGCACTTGGCACAGAGGCCCATGCGAGAGCCCAGGAACCTCAGCTCCTGTCAGCATCGTTATCGCTGTGAAGGGAGCAGCTGGGGGAGGGAGTTACAGCTGCTGGAGGTGGGACATCCTCGCTTTCAGGCAGGAAGCGCCTGCGTTCCCGAAATTCCACCCATGTGAATGTGAGCGGCGTTGGGAAGTTCCCTGGAGAACATGTGGGCTTCCCCACTCTTGTGTTGGCCTGGAGCTCAGTTCCCCGCACCGCTCTGAGCACCCGCTGCGGCCCAGGGCTGGAATGTCCAGGTGATGGGCCAGTCTCAGGCCCATCCCTCCCCCAGCAGGTGGCGACCTCGGCCAGCTTGGCGGGCTGTCTGGGTGAGATGTTTGTGAAGTTTGGGGTGTACTGGCCTGAGGTTACTTTCTCTTTGGATCAAGCACTTGAGTAACACTTGAACTTAACAGTGCTAAGCACCATCCCAAGCACGTCATAGCCAGCTCTCAGGTGATGCTTTAACAGGACTGGGAGGAGCTGAATTCAGGGCGGGGAGCCTGGAGACAAGTGTCACAGCAGGACCCCACCCCTGACCAGCAGTGCAGCTGCAGAGCCTGAGGGCTGACCGTGCCGGTCACTGCGATCAGTGTTGGGGCCCGTGCTGAACACTGGATTGGCAGAAAAGAAAGAGAAGGACATTGTGGCTGTTGGAGCTGTGTTTGCATTTCTCATGTTCTCAGGGGGCCTTTGCAACGCTGCTTGTATTCACATGGTTCGGATGCCAGGAACAGACCAGTCCTGCCAACGACCCGTGAGAGTGTGGATCTAATTCCTGGGTTCTAGAAAGAATATTTGAGCTCACGTTTTGAACGAGTGCCCGGCCACAGCCCACAGAGGGTGGGTTGGGACAGTGTGCCTGTACCAGAAATCCTGCCCACGTGATTTGCGAATCACGTGACACATTGGCACAAGTTTGCTTTGAAACGTCTGTGAGCACGTGACCTTCTTGTCCATCGGTGGTTCAGATCATTTGTCTCACCCGCCAGAACTGCTGAGGCGGTGGATTGCCTGTGTAGGTGAACAGGCACCCACACCCCCCGCAGAGCTCTCCCTTGGGTCCTACCAGCACCCCCACAGAGGAGGTCAGGCCTTAGTACAGAGGGAGTTTGAGCAATGCCCGGACCGGTTTCCTGAGCTCGGATAACTTCCCTTGTTCACCCTCAGGGTCGGGACTGGAGTGACCTGACAGGTCAGCTCTGCTCTGGCAGACTCAGCGGGGCGCTAAGGAACATCCCAGGAGCTTGTGAGTGCTTCCCAGGAAGATTCCAGCTGGGGGTTCTCAGGCCTAGTCCCCCAGCGAGGAACGGCTCCCAGGCTGCAGGGCAGCGCCGAGTCCCAGCCCCTAGACCACCACGGGCTGGTGTCTCACGAAGCCGCAGCAGCAACTTCGCAGCCGCTCAGGGGAGCAAGCGAGAAGAGGCAAATTTGTTTAGAGAAAGAAAAAGTTTATTAAGGAGAAAAGGAACAGAAATAAAATGAGACTCTCAGGCTGGTGACCCAGGCCAGGGAGGCCAAGGAAGCCGTTGTGGGCCTGTGTCTAGGGGATTTAGATTTTACCTCCCCTGTCCAAGGTCTTATTTTCTCAAGTTTTACGGTTTTTGTTTAATCCTCCTGGACTTTCTGACCTCATCTCTGGAGTATGTTTTGATTAGCACTTCTTAGAATTTACTGTCCTTATCTCAGAACCCTATTTAACTCTCCCAAAGCCTCTGCCCGTACTTCCCTGGAGCTGCCTAATTAACCCTCACTTGCCCTGGGGCTCGGAAGGGCCTGTGTCCTCAGCTGTCAAGCATTAACCTGTGGCTTCAAGCCCTTGTTGCTGCCTGGAGAAGCTGCCCCTGACTCCCCCAAAACAGGCACAGTTGTTAGGGTCCCTGCTGCTGCACTTAACAGACTTGATTGAAAGTCTGTTTTTCTATCTTTTCCCACTGCTTGGCACACCCCTCGTGCTCTGTAAATGTTCACTTAAAAAGTGAATTTCTTCTCTCAAGTTTCGGGCATGGCGACGTACAGTAGAAAGTAGAAAGTACTCCGAACTCATCTATCTCAGAATTAACTAAAATCCTTTCAAAAATCAATTAGAATCATACCACACCGCATTCCAACAATGCAGCAACATGCAAAATGAAGCTGCGAGCTCCCTGAACCCTGACACTCAGGAATGAGAATGGGGGAGCATGTAAGCCGTGGGGAGCACATAAACCATTGGGACCTGCCTGGTGTCACAGCTGCCTCCATCTCGCTCAGCTCTTGAGGCTCTGTATGGCTATAGGTGTGTAACGGGGCAGGAATGACCACAGTGCAGGTTTTCTGATCCCATGCAGACCGGGTAAAGGAGGAGTCAGAGTCCTCAGTGGTTTTTTGCAGGTCTTTTATTGGGGTTCACCAGGCATATGGCAGGCAGGGGTGCTGGGGGGCCGGGAGGCTGGCAGGTCTCCCAGCCCCCAGCAAATCCTCACTATCTGGGCTCTCCGGCCTTCTCTCGGCTTCTGCTTCTCTTGCTTCTCTCTCGGCTTCTCTTTCGGCTTCTGCTGCCACTGGGTGATGGGGTGGCCTGGCGGGCTAGGTGGCCTCGTCACCTGCCTCTGGGCCTAGCCTCGTCCCTGTGCCGAGTCCACGTACCCCCTGCGGTTGCCAGCCAAGTTGGGGGGGGCTGTGTGGCTGGGCGTTTCTGGCCTGGAGAGCTGGAACTTTGCACATGACATACGGGGTTGTTCCTGCTACAACTGCCCCCCAGCCCTGTCGATCACTATGGTTGCTGCTGGCGTCCCCATGACGTCGCCCTTAAAAGTCCAGTCTCTCAGCCCAGGTGTACCCACTCCAGGTGCCCGCCACCAGGCATGCATTCAGGACCACAGGGTTCCCTCATCTATGCTGATGGCGGGAGGGCAGAAAAGCCTGATACCTTTTACCTTACCCTACAAGGTGTCATGACTTTTGGTTCCTTAAATGATAAGCTTTTGTTCTTTGTTCTAGAACTTTCCATGACTGGATCACACAGAAAAACCGGCCGAGCTCAGGAAGCCTAATCCAGGTGGTCACCACCGGTGGGAAGACCGAGCTTACCCCTGCATACTTTTAAAGCTTCATCTCAGTACTTTTGAGGGACCTGCCAGAAAAGTTGTTAATTTTCATGGGCGTGGCTGCATCCGGCTGTGTTTTCTGTCATCCTGCGTGTGGCACAGGTAGTTCCGTTGTTCTCTTACCCGGTGTGCATTTGCTTTCCTAGGACTGTGTGCAATGTTTATGTAAAGTAGAAACACCTGAGGGTGGGGGCCTGCAGGCCAGCCTGTGAATCTGTGTGGGCTCCCAAGCTCCGGGGACCCCTGGGCCGGCCCTTTCACACCCACGTCTTGTCGAATTGCTTTCGAGACTTTGTCCCTGACAGTGGCTGCCATCTCGGGCTATGGTGCCAGGGCATCTGGGGCCTGGCCTTATGTTTGAATGTTATATGTCACTGACGTAGTAGTTTTGCAGCCTCAGATTAAACTGCCTTAAAACTCCTTTTGTGGTGTATAAGCAACCCGCCCCCCCCCGGGCCCTGTGACCTGTCCCTCTTCTGCGCAGTTGCCAAGTGTCAAGAACACTACTTGTGATTATTTGGAGTTTTTCTTCCTAATAAACGCACTTCATTTATTGTGTTGTCTCGTGGTCTGCTGTGTTGCTGCATGGGGCATGCACACTCTGAGCTCACAGCAGCCAGCACTGGCCAAGCAGCGGCCCCTTCTAGAAGCCTGGGGTGCCTTCCTGGGCCCCACCCTGAGTTTTACGTCTTAATATTCCAAAGCCTCAGTATTAGTGGCCACTTTGGCTGCCACTTCCTACATGAACCATTTCAAGGATTTCTGCAAAGCGAACCCAGGTAAGGATCTGATGACTGTGTCTATCTGAGGTTTCCCACGCAGGGAAGAGAATCGAGAGGGTTGTTAGACTCTGTTTTAGTGACATCACATATCTCAGAGTTGATATTCTTCAAAGTAACCGATTTTTCTGGAGGCAGCAGTTCTACAACACCCTGTTTCTACAAAGCATTTTTTTCAGGGCGCAACCTCTTCACGGAACAGATCAGCTTCGTCCTGATTCTCGGCTTGTACCCCCTTGTTGGGATCAGGGCAAGAGGCACCTGCTGAATTGCTGGTTTTGGCTAACAACACCCTCCTGCACACTGGCTGGGGGGGACCCACTGCAGACACCTGGTGATGATGGGGAGGGCGCATTGGCCGCCCTTGGGGAGTGGGAGGTTCTTTGGAGGAGCCTGTGGGTAAACTTCATCTGATGCACTTCTCTGAGATGCACTGATGCATCTGCTTCTCCCAGGGCATCTCGTAAGACCAACCAGCTGCCCTTGTTCCCAAGCTGTGACCAGTCCAGGAACCCAGGGTAGACTTTGCTCTTTTTTCCAGCTTCACTTCCCCACCAACCCCCCAATCACTGTTCCCCCTAGATCACTTCTCAACCGAAAGGAAAATGTTAGCACGATGAACTTTTTTTTTCGTTTAAGGAGCTCCTGTTATGGGATTTTTATTTCTCTAGGCTTACTGAGATGCAATGCACATACCACACAATTCATTTAATTTAGTATAGTCACGGGACTGTGCCAACTTTTCAAGACACAGCTGTTTAAAAATCCCAGGCAACGGAAAGTTGAAGTGATGTGATGGGGCAGCTGGGCCATGCCCGGCCCTCCCCTGGCCCCCTATGGCCAGGGGAGCATCTCCATGGCCTGGAAGACGGGTTGGTGGGAGGGTTCTGCTTCTGCTTCTAGGGCTCTGTAGAAGAATATTGGGGTTGAGTCCACATCCCCCCCCCCCGAGTCAATTTCCACTGTAATAATTTGTCACTTAGAATTAAAATAAACACCACTCTGCACATCCTAGGGAGAGAGAGAAGAGGAAAACGTTTTGTGTTGGTAAAAGGAAGCACATCCTACTCAGCCAGATAAATCTGTCAGGACTCGGGGCCAGGGAGTATGGGTAGAAACCTAATGCAGTTCTAGAAAGTTCTTAGCACTGAGAGAGCCCTTGTGTGACCTGGAGAATATTCCTAAGTTAGGCAAGTCTTTTCTGATCGCTGCCTCAGTTTCCTGGATATACAATTTGCTCTGTTTTCAGGCGGAATTTCCTATTAATTTTTGCAAGTTATTTTACCTCTGGTAAAAGTAATTTGGAAATCTGAAGAATAAAAATTAAAATGTTCTGTATGCACAGTTTCCCCATCTCATCTTCCAAACTCTAGTCTCGAGAGCCACATGGAAGGGCTGGCAGTGTAGGAAGTCCCAGTCTCCTGGAAGCAGGAGAGGGGCAAACATCTGAGTCTGCACACCCTCCCTGGTGAGCGCGGCCTTGCAGCAGCTGGCTGTGGCTGCCAGTGTAGTGTCAGGGAAAGCTCAAGCGAGGAGTTCTTGGAAGGTCCACTTGGTGGCGCTGTCAGCGTGGTGGAAGGGCCCTGACTCAGCTGCTGGTCAGTGCTGCTTCAGTGATTTTAGAAAACGATGCTCTCAACCACGCCTGGCTCCTTCAAAACACAGATCCCACAGTGACAGCTGGACATCTTGCATCTGGATATTTAATGCACAACACGGTGACTGAGCACAAATACGTATCATACAGTTAAACGTGGCTAAGGGAGTCGACCTAAAGCATTCTCGCCACCAAAAAGAAATGATAGTGATGTGACTTTATAGGTGGAGTCAGGTTACAATATGCAAATGCATCAAAAGACACTTTATACACCCAAAATTTGACAATGTTACATATCAATTACATTTCAATCAAATCCCATAAAACCAAAACATGATGACTGCCTGTGTCACCCATGGGCCTGTAAATGTCACAGAAACACCCAAAGTCAGGATGTCCAGGATGTCCAGGATGTCACTTCAGTTCTCTTCTTCCTCCAACTTGAATTATTCATCAAAATTATCTAGGGGGCTTGTAAAAACTGGTTTCCTGGACCCACTACAATGCTGAACCAGCGGAGGGCCTGGTATTGCTTGTCTCTTGCTGTATAACAAATCACCCCAACCTAGTGGTTTAAAACAACCACTCTTACTATCTTTCATACTGTCTGTGGGGCAGGAATGTGGCTGTATCTGTCATTATGCTTTAGGGTCTCCCGTGAGCCTGTTGGATGTCAGTAGCTCTGAGGTAGAACACGAAGAGTTGACTGCTAGCAGCTAACAGGAGTTGGGGGCATATCCCTCTGTAAGACGCTTCTTGTTGGTAGTGGGTGTCATCATTGCACCGGTCTCACAGAGGAAGGGTGAGCTTAGCGAGGTTAGGTGACTTGCTCAGAGCCACACAGCTGGGGAGAAAAGTCAGGATTTTGAACTCAGGAGGGATTCCTGGCTTCTTAGCAGCTGCCTTATTGGCAACTGTGAGAGCATGTTATCACTGGAGCATGCGGTGTGAGCTGGGGAGTGCAGATTCTGGGGCATGAAGGATCTCTGTCCAGTGATTTTGATCTTACAGGCAATGGGAAACTTCTGGAAACTTAGAACATTTTCTCATCATGAGCCAAGGTCCCTTCTGTATATTGATAGTGTCGAGAATACAAGCAGCTTGAAGAATGTCCACAAGGGGGCAAGCGTTGGCAAGAGATGGCGCGCTGGTGTTGAAAAGCCAGGTGGAGCTTGTTCAATTTTCCTTTCAGGGGCCTCTGCTTGGTTCCCTGAGCAGATCTGCGATCGATGATAAGTCACCTCCAGCACTGGAGACTTGCTGCTATTCCTTTTGCCTTTTCCTCCCCCCTTGCCTGCCTGTCTCCTCTCCTCTCTGCATTCCTCTTGTTTACTTTCTTCCAGAAGTGGAAAGTTAGTTGCTTCGAGCACTATTTACTATAGCCAAGCTATGGAAACCACCCAAATGCCCAAAAATAGATGACTGGATCAGGAAGATGTGGTCCATGTACACCATGGAATATTACTCAGCAATCAAAAAAGAAAACTCATGCCATTGGCAGCAACATGGATGGAGCCGGAAGGGATCATGCTCAGCAAAATCAGCCAGAAAGAAAAAGAAAAATACCGGATGGTCTCACTCATAGCAGGAATATAGAAAACCTAAATAAGGGACCAGGAAAAAGACTAATTATAGTAAAGTAAAAATTAAAATCAATAAGCAACTATAAACTAGAGACACACTACAGGGTGGATCAAAATCAGAGGGGTGGGAATTGTGTGGGGACTATAACCAAGATGAAAATGCAAACATTGTGCAAATATTAAAAATGATGTAAAAATATATAAAATTAAAAAATAATAATAATAAAAATAGTTGCTTTGTAAAGAACACCAAGCTTGCAGCATCCTAGAGGTCGGGTTCACACACATACAACACACACTCACGCGCACCCCTGCCCAGTCCACGACCAAAAGACAAGCGCAGTTTCTCCATGTGTCTCTGCTCCATGCGCGTCCTCCAGGTCTTCCTTCTGGCTCCATTCTGCTTCCTCCTTCCTCAGTCTCCTCTGCAGCTTCTTCTCTCCCTGCTCAGCTCCACCCTCCTTTTGGGTGGGGCAGGAAACCTGGAACCTGCCCCTTTCCTGGGGACCCCCCTGTTACAGGAAGACTAAGGACCAGGGGTCTTGAGGTGACCATTCTAAGGCCAGCAAGGGGGAACCAAGCGTGGCTGATCGCCCATCCTGAGACATGGGGTGTCCAACCAGCTCTGCAAATCACAGTGTGTTGTTCGGGGAGACGGTCCTGGCTGCTCTCCAGACTGTTGTTGTCTCTAGACAGTGGTGGGTATCCATGAATGAAGGGTCCACAAATAAGGAAAATATTGAAAATCAATCAAAATATCAGTCACCTGTCTATATCTCAATCAATCAATCATCTATCTAAGCTTCCATCTACCATGTATCTATTAATCTTCCACCTATATATCCACCTATCTAGTCTTCCACCCATCATGTATCTATTTAATCTTTCATCTTTCTAATTTGTTGTCAATCATCCACATATCATCTGTCTATTTCTGGCAGAATTTCTCAGAGCCTCTAACTTATGCCTGGGGATTCTCCAAGAGGGGCCTGAAGTGGGCAGCTTTTCCCCAGGGGTCACCATCCAGGTGAAACTGTGGGGGCACCAGCAGGTCCAGGGTGAGCTGTGCGTGAATGCGTAAGCTAGGGAAGTTCTTGGGTGCTGTGTTCAGGAATTCCAAGAGGGGAAAGAGCATCCCTCATCACCAGTAATGGTCAAATTGAAAAGTATTCATGAAATGCTTACTCTGCTAACCACTTCCATCTATTAAGTACCTACTGTGTGCCAAGCATGATGCGAGATACCTTCTCATTCCATCTTTCGAGTCAACATGGATGGACAGATACAATCAGCCAGCTGGGAGGGCATTGTGGGCTGTCTCTAGAGAGGGCATCTTCACAAAGCATTGGGTGGCCAGATAAAGACTGGCCCTAGTCCTAACGGCAAGGACCAGCAACCAGCTGACCCCTCAAGCCGCCGAAACACCAGCGGTTATGGCAAGCAGGGTGTCATCCGTGTTCCACCCTGCTGGCCTGTGGCTCTTTTCAGAGTGCAGCCTTTCCCTGAAGGCCAATCTCCCCCTCAGTGCGGGAATCTGTGCCGTGTATATTGTCCTCTGCAAGCAAGCAGCCAGGTTAAATTCTAATGAAATGTTT